CAATTAGATATTTGTTGAATACTACATCTGAAACTAATGATGTGTTATTATATGTTGGGTAATTGAATTTAAACTAAAAAAAGAAAGAGCGATATTTGTAGCCTCGTGGCTATTATTCGAGGGAGAATTCCTAATCTGGGAGAGTATTCTACTCTGGGATGATTATGGCACTGGATCAGAAAGCATGGCAGCCTTTTTTTTTTTTTTTTTTAACTTTTTGCTGTACTATATCCCCTAAAGGGGCTCTCTTTTCCCTTCTTTGAGGGCCCTTGGTGGGTTAGGATAGGGGCATCAGTGGCATTTTTCCTAATTCATATATTTGATGCTAAGTGGTCTTCCATACACTCAGGATAGCATAAAAAGTGTGTGTGTGTGTATACTTCTCATGCATTTTAAGATGTGTGGATACATAAACATGTACATATTTAATGGGCGTGCACACACACAGCTGTTTGACTAGGTAAGAATTATTCTTTAGCATTAATTGGCCAGTTCATAGAGCACCTTTTGGAGCACAAATTAGCAGGCTCAACTTAATTGGAAATGTGTATAACTTTTGACCAAACAAATTTCACCTCTAATATCTATCCTACAGAAATCTTTGCACATTCTTTTTTTTCTTTTTTTTTTCTCTTTGCACATTCTTAAAGGCATGTCACCATTGCAACATTTATATAATACCAAAAATTTGAAAGCAACATAAATGTTCATCAGTAAATTATACCTTCCTTCTATTAAATATTATGTGATTGGGAAAGTAAAGGTATAGGTCTTAATGTAGGAAGATATCCTTAAAACACTGACAAAAGAAATATGCAGCTCACTGAGTAATATGTATGGCATGATTTTATTTATGATAAAGCAAGCAAGTAAGTACCCTTTATGTGTGCACAAAGTACTCTGAAAGGAATTGTTAACTGTTAGTTGAGAAGAGAGGAACTGGACAAGGAATATTCAAGGGGAATAATTCTTTTCTTTATGCTTTTGAATTTTAAGATTGTATATAGGTATTACTTGTTCAAGCAGTAGGAAAAAAGTAATTTGCAAGTTTTTTTCAATAATTGTGATCTATTAATGAAATAGTACATGTTCCAATTAGAACATCATTAACAATAATGTGAAAATTACATGACGTAGACAATATTGATAAGATTGAAAAGATTGCTATTTAAATTGGTAGTTCACAAGATAGATTAAAGCACTGAAATGCTACCTTTGTTAATGGTTGAAAAATTTGCTATTTGACTATTTCCTTTTCAGTGTGAGGTGTCTAGACCACGTGTATTCTATAAGTGAGTGAGTGTTTAAGTAGCTGTCAATAGTGCGTTCAGGAGTGGCTTCCCAAGACATAGCCTTCATCCCTGGAACCTGTGAATGTGATCTTATTTGGAAATAGTCTTTGTAGATGTAACTACGTTAAGGATCTTGAGATGAGATCATCCTGGAGTATCTAAGTGGCCTCTAAATCAAGTGACAAGTGTCCTTAACAGAGTTAGGCAGAAGAAGATTTTAGACAGAAGAAGACACAAACACAGAGGAGAAGGATATGTGAAGATAGAAGCAGTGATTGCAGTGATGCAGCCATAAACTGTTAAGACCTAAAATCACCAGAGCTCACAGAGTCAAGGAATGCTGCTCCCCTGGAGCCTTCAAGGAACAGGGTCCCACAGATGAGTTGATTTTAGATTTTTGGTGTCCAGAGCTGTGAAAAAATAAATTTGTTTTTTGACCTACCAGGTTTGTGGCAATTAATTTGTCATAGAAGCACAGGAAACTAATATACCTTACATCTAAATAAAAAAATATGATAGGTTTAACATGCAGAAGAGATCAGAGAATTTTAAAGCTTAGATTATTTCAGATTTTCTTAGTGTGCTGCTTTTTTCTTCATTCCAAAATTTAAGTCCTTAGAATATTGACTACCAAAGGAATGAACATTATTCTGATTCCCCAGAACCACTGAATGTAGGAATCAATATAGGGATCATCTGGTCCAGTGGCCATACACAGAAGAGCCCATAGTGTCAGGAATAAGTCATGAATGTTGGAGTTGGGCTAGGTTAGGGCAGAAGTGCATGGTAAAAGGTAGTAAAGTGAAGTATCTGATCTACACAAACAAAGGCACTGCAAATCAAACAATTAAAAACCCTGCGAAGGGGATCCCTGGGTGGCTCAGCGGTTTTGCATCTGCCTTTGGCCCAGGGCGCGATCCTGGAGTCCCGGGATTGAGTCCCATGTCAGGCTCCTGGCAGGGGCCTGCTTACCCCTCCTCCTGTCTCTGCCTCTCTCTCTCTATGTCTATCATGAATAAATAAATCTTAAAAAAAAAAATAACCCTGCGAAGATATGAGACATATAGCTTCATTTGGCTGCCTGTGTGCCAGGGCTATCTACTACCAAAATGAAGAGAAAATGGAATCTGAAAGACTGTTGGTTGTTCCTGCCACAATACCTAATCAGCTCCTGAGCTAGGATCATAATTCCTGGTTCATCCCTTCTGATCGAGTGTTGTTCTGCCTCTGATTTGCTCTTTATCTCTGCTAAACAGTATGGAAAAAACTAAGATGTATTGACCAGCATGTGTTGGGCACCATGCCAGGTTTTTTCAGATGTGTAATCATGTAATTTGCACAACGGCCCCGTGAGGTTGGTAGGTTTCCTCAAGGTTGGGTAACTTGCCTAAGGTCACTCAATTAGTAATGCAGGTCTCTCTAGCTGCAAAACTCATGCTGTTCCAAGATATAATACCGCTTCTGAAGAGGGGCTCAACAAGCCATGAGACTTGGGGAAAATATGAATACATTCTTTCCAAAGACAGGTCATGGTAATTTTTAATACTACTGCTAATTTTTAATATGCTTGAATTGGAAAAAAAAATAGTGCTTCTTCAGTGATACAATCACCTTCACTATTTTTTTTTCCTGTTACATATCCTGTAGGTTTTCCTGTTATCTTTTTGGTTTTATAAGAATTTCCTTTCCCTTAATAAATCCAAGGCAACAGCCTTACTCCTTTTTTTTTCTCCTAATTATTCTGTAACTGCCAAAATTGTCAAATTACTTTTGAAACATGATCTGATTTCCTCTGTACTTGCTAAATGAAGCAATAATTCTGTATATCTGGCTTTCTTTAGCTAGTTGTACCTTTAACAATTCTGTCTTTGGATTTTATACATGCTTTAAGAACTAAGTTGGGCTATGCTAGAAGACAATTTTTTTCATTGATGCATGGAGAAAATGCACTTTTAGAAAATAAATTTTGGGAAGGAGTCTTGCCTGTAGTCATTCTACCAAATGACATGGGAGTTTTCTGGTTATTTTCTGTATTTAGTTAACCAATAAATATTTATTCATGGCCTGTTTTATGTTCAGCATGTTACATATGGGCTATTTTAGGTGTTTTAAAAGAAATAAGAGGGATCCCTGGGTGGCGCAGCAGTTTGGCACCTGCCTTTGGCCCAGGGCGCGATCCTGGAGACCGGCATCAAATCCCACGTCGGGCTCCCAGTGCATGGAGCCTGCTTCTCCCTCTGCCTGTGTCTCTGCCTCTCTCTCTCTCTCTCTCTCTCTCTCTCTGTGACTATCATAAAGAAATTAAAAAAAATTTTAAAAGAAATAAGAAATACAAAATATGACTTCAGTCTTCAGAAGCTTGCAACTGAGTTCTAGAAACAAGACTAACAAAGAATAAGAGACAGGAATGCCTTATAAAGCATTAGGAACTCAAAAATTGAATAGCGTAGTATGAACTAAAGTATTTAGAAAATATTTCATTAAGATTGTGGAATTTGAAGTGGACCTACAAAAATTGGGAAGGTGGAAGAAATGAGTAAGGTTTTGTGTGTGTGTCTTGGGGGGAGAATAGAATTAAAAAGGCAAATGCAGAATTGGTGTATTTGGGGGACAGTGGATGAATCAACTCACTGAAGAGAAATAAAGGGAATACGAAATTAGATATGGTAGCCAAATGGGAAAACATTAAATGCTCTAAAAGCCAGTCTAAGGAGTTTAGATTTAAAAGCAATTGATGGTAATGAATCCTCTTGTGCTGGAAAATGAAAAGATAAAAGGCATTTCTCAAAGAGATCTAGCATCAAAACATACAAGGGTTGGCTTAGAAGAGGAGCAAGGTCAATGTTCAAGTCAAGTAAGTATAGCAGCTAAAATATTGCTTTTTAAGTTTGTATTATAGGGAGTGCATAGACTAAGGGTAGTGGTAGTTGGAGTGGATAGAATAAGGTAGGTTCTTCCAAGAGGTGTTAAAGGGAGAAACAATGATGTTTAGAGATTAGACAATGGAAATGTCTGTAGGCAGCTAGAAAGGACATAGTATGATGGAGTAGGGAAGGAAGTATAGATTCATTAGTGGCCAGATAATACATGACATAGCTGAAATAGTGAATTAATATCAGCTCAATTATACTTAGAAAACCAGAAGGATGAGCTTAAAGAACATTCCACATTTAGGAACCTAGTAAGGAAGGGAGAGAAAAAGTTGTTTTAAAAAGATGGGAGAAGCTCTTAAATATGCCACAGAAGAAAGAATTTCATGAGTGGGTAGTTTGTAACACCAAACATTATAAGATATTGAAGAAAATGTCTGAGGAAAGGTCAAGGTCATCAATTTAGCAGGAGGAGATCATTGGTAATCCTCAGGAAATAGTTTCTGTGGAATAGTATGCACTGAAATAGGTGGTAAGGGGAATAAGAAGGAATTAGAATAGTGAAAAAGAAGAGAGGAAAGATGTAGATCAAATATTGGAATAGTTAGGAGCAAAACCAGAGAGTGATATTGATTAGTAAGTAGAAGAGCTAGGAATAAAAGGAGGATGTTATGATAGTTGACATCCAAGTGAACTTCACCTCCTGCTATTCACTTGTGTAGTTCCCCTTTCCATGGCATGGGGTTGACCTGTATAACCAACAGTATAGAAATAATGGTGCATGATTTCTGAGGCAAGGTCATACAAGATACTGTGCCTCTGCCATGTTTTCTCATAGATTACTCATGCTTGATGAAGCGAGCCCTCATGTCATTATGACACTCAAGCAGCTCTTGAAGAGGAGCTGAGGCTTCCTTCCAACAGTCAGCACCATGTTAGTGAACTGCCTTGGAAACCAATCATCCAGGTCCCAGTAAGCCTTCACATATCTACTGACATCCTGACTACAATCTCGTAAGAGACGGTCAGTCAAAACCACCCAGGTAAGCCACACCTGAGTTTCTGAGTTTGTTTTAAGCCACTTTGTTTTAGAGTACAGTTGACTCTTGAGCAACATGAGAGTTAGGTGTGCCAAACTAACCCCCTAGGAAGTAAAAAAATCAAATAATTTTTGACTCCTCCAAAACTTAACTACTAATAGTCTACTTTTGACCAGAAGACTCCTAATAACACAAAAGGTGAAGTGACACATATTTTGTATGTGATACATGTTACATTTTGTACTCTTACAATAAACTAAGCTATAGAGAAGAAAATCATGAGAATACATTTGTAGTACCCAACTGTATTTAGAAAAAAAATCCATGTGTAAGTGGACCCGTGCAGTTCAAACCCATGTTGTTTAAGGGTCAACTATAATTTCTCATGTATATTAGATAACTAATACAGATTTCTTTAGGTATTTTATTTTGCATGTATTTATCTCTTTTGTTTTTCTTTTTGACTGGTAGAACTCTGAATATGTTTTAAGGTGCTTATGAATATCAGAATGATTCAAGATGATAATACGAATAAAAGAATTGGTAGGAGTATGCTCTGAGTGACTGGAAAATTCAGGGAACTGAAATAAAGATGGGAAAGTTGATTTTCAAAAAGAAGTCACCTATTTTATGAAAGTAATGAGAGGTTCAGCATAGATGAACTCTATTCCATCCTGAGATGAAGATAGGAGTGCCTGAGATTGCTCACTTCAGATCAGTTCTTTTTACTAAATCCTCTATGTGTGCATTACCCTATATGTTTATATTTTTACCTAGATAGTCCAATAGGTACTTTCCTTATCCATAAGAAGATATTTTCTATGATACGTATACTTTGTAAGATAAATAGTGAAGAAGTTAACTTCATTCCTCACAAAGGACAGGAATCTGCTAAGTGATTCATTAAATACACACGTAATATTTCATAATGAAACAAATACTTTTACTTTTGGTTATCTCCATATTTTTCCCATAGGGATTGCTTATTATTGCCTTTAACACATCTACATTCACCATGGCATCAGGGAGCCATGTGCATGAACTCTGTAGATCCTCTTTGCTGTACAAAGGTCAAATGGACTTATGGCAGTGCTCTGAAGGGTGTACTTGGCAGTTAGTCTAACAAAAGGAGTGAAAATGCAGTAGAGATAAGATTACATAGATTGGGTTTATGATCCTGTATAGATTCTCAGATTCTGTAGTAAGCTCTTTGAAATGTATCTTCAGGGAGGATATGTTCACTTTATTACATTTATCAACATTGTTTGAACATAATCCATTTGTAGGGTACTTCTTTTTCTTAGAGCATTCATTTTAGAAAGTTTGAAATTGTATACACCACTCAGGCTATTACCATAGGAGAGAAAGACTGAACTCAGCTCTGCTGAAACAAAAGGCAAGAGGATTTTTAAGTGATGGGGTGAACTAGAGAAAGGCACAGGGGACATTAGAGAGAATGCATGTTTTGTAATAGCCTGAGTAGCGTGGTCTTTGCTTAACTTTGGCACAGGTTTTGCTTTGGCCCTGGAAATCCTGTTGTCATCTGGCCTTGCATGCCAATATCAGTGAAGACAGAATTGAGATGGAATTTTTAAAGTCTATATCTTTAATGTTAAGAGAAAACCAAATAAAATGCTCAAATAAATATTTAGTTGTAAATTGGGGCAAAATTTACAGGGATCTGGAAATTGAATGTGGACATTATTTCAAAACAATAGAGTGAGGGCAGCCTGGGTGGCTCAGTGGTTTAGCGCCACCTTCAGCCCAGGGCCTGATCCTGGAGACCCAGGATCAAGTCCCATGTCGGGCTCCCTGATGAATAAATAAATAAAATCTTTTTTGTTTTAAAGATTTTATTTTTATTTATTTATGAGAGAGAGAGAGAGAGGCAGAGACACAGGCAGAGGGAGAAGCAGGGTCCATGCTGGGAGCCTGACGCGGCACTCGATCCTGATCCTGGGGCTCCAGGATAGGGCCCTGGGCCGAAGGCGGGCGCCAAACCTCTGAGCCACCTAGGGATCCCCTAAATAAAATCTTTTAAAAAAAATGATAGAGCAATAATTTGGTCAAAAAAAGAAAACACAGGCACGCCTGGGTGGCTCAGCAGTTGAGTATGGATATGGATATGATCCTGGGGTCTGATTAAGTCCTAAGTCCTGCACTGGACTCCTTGCAGGGAGCCTGCTTCTCCCTCTGCCTTCAGTGTTGTTAATTTATCAACTCCTGGTAACTTTTGTTAACTATTTCCTGTAAAAACTAGGGCAATTAATACAAATGAATGCCTGCCTTTTTTCTCCCCAACAAACTCCCCTTTTGGTTTTCTTACATGTGTTGTAATACAAAGAAGCTCTTCTTATAGTTATTATATTTAAAGTACTTAGACATCTTTTTCTCCTTCCAATAAGATTAATGGTTCTCCGACTTAAGCATGCATCAAAATCACTTGAAGGGCTTGTTAAAACGCAGATTCCTGGGCCCTATCCCTAGAAAATGATTCAGCAGGTGTTGTGATTGTGTTAAATTAGCATTGCTATTTACAGCCCGGGGCTGAGCTGGGATGTCAGGCTGTCGAATGGTGAGTCACTTGTCAACAAAATACTACAAAGGAATTGACTTAATATTCATAACTCCTGGAGGAAATTCATGGCATATGTGTAGGGACCATGAGAAGGGGTCAAGGCAGGGTACAGGCAGAGAGATTGGTGGGATGTGGGGCACATGCCTTTATTAGGGTCTGAGGGTGGAGTGATTTGAAATTCCTGGATTAAAGCAAAATTGGTCAATTCAAACCAAAAGAACAATGTTTTGGTAAGCTTCATGGGGCATTTACCTGAGAGGTGCCCAAGGGGAAGGCCCTGGGAATGTGGAGGAGAGTGCTTAACACAATGATAGCTAAGAGAGTCCTATTAGGAGCATATTTATTCATGACTCTGGGCACTGTTACCTAAGGCATGCACTCAGGCAGTGACTAGTTTGAGTTCAAGGTCCCTGCAGGCCATTTGGCCACACAGGATGAATGCCAAGGCAGCACTATCATAGATCCACTTAGCTAAACTCTTAACAGTAGCTCTAAGCTGAAACCTGAGAATTTGCTTTTCTATTAAGTTCCCAGGTGATGCTGATTTGCTTGTCCCATGGTCCACACTTTGAGAACTATGCCTTTAGATGGTATTTATTGAGTGACATATAAGATGAAGAAATTTGTGACTCTACCCTTCTCTTTATTCTTCATTGCGTTCACTTTAACTTTTGTTAACTGTACCATTACTTTTATGTTGCTAATATTTACAGAGAAAATGAGTGAGAAATATCAGAGAGCGTGACAGAACATGAGAGACTCCTAACTCTGGGAAACGAACAAGGGGTGGTGGAAAGGGAGGTGGGCAGGGGGTTGGGGTGACTGGGTGACGGCCACTGAGGGGGGCACTTGATGGGATGAGCACTGGGTGTTATGCTATATGTTGGCAAATTGAACTCCAATTAAAATAAATTAAAAAAAATATTTACAAAATTGCATTATTTCTGGTTATTATAAGTATGCTCTGTCCTTTGCAACAGTTGATTCAAAAATTTGAAAACTAATAAAGTGATGGATGATCTGCAGAGAAGAAAACATATGCCCATGTAACAGGATCAAAATCATTAGAACCTTTCTCACTCCCACTTTTGTCTTCAAATACAGATTCTAGCTTTGCCCATTGAGCCTCATTTCTTCTTCTGCTTTCTGAGGACATTCAAAGGCTGCAGGACTAGGTTTGAGGACTTTATGATGCAGATACTAGAGGAAAGTAGAGAAAAGTCCTAAAATCAAAGGGTGTGCTAAGGCTGGGGAATGGGTTTTGGGGTGAATAGAAAGGAATAGAAATAATTTCATGTGTAAGGGAATTAGATGGGAGAGTTCATAGGAATTTAAAGTATTCTTGGGATCCCTGGGTGGCGCAGCGGTTTGGCGCCTGCCTTTGGCCCAGGGCGCGATCCTGGAGACCCGGGATCGAATCCCACGTCGGGCTCCCGGTGCATGTGTCTCTGCCTCTCTCTCTCTCTCTCTCTCTCTGTGACTATCATAAAAAAAAAAAAAATTTTAAAGTATTCTTATCTGTGTAATCCTTTAATGGTGGAAGAAATGCAAAGATAGGTTCTGACTGTGGCTTTTTGCTTTTCTTTTTAAAGTCTGTCTGTCTTTCTGTATCTTTTATTGATGGAAAGGTCAAATAATTTTTATCTCTTATTTTGAAGTTCCAGACCTTTAATAAACACAATTTATATCCTGAAATTTAGCTTCTTTATAGAGACCCTCCTCACAGAGAACTCTGAATTCCTTTTCTTCTATTTTATTCTAAGGAAGTTTTTAAAATTCATAGAAAGATTTTTTCTCAGATATTACTATTACGAAAACATAAAACAGGCAATTGTGGTGTAATATATTGGGGACTATACAATTATCTGTGGTCTCAGGATTCTTTATACTCCTTAAAATTATTAGGGATCCCAAAGAACTTATAAATCATAAAATTAAAAAATATTTATATATTTAAAAATGGCTGGGTGGCTCAGTGGTTGAGAAGCTGCTTTTGATTCAGGTCATGATTCTGGGGTCCTGGGATCAAGTACCACAATAGGCTCCCCACAGAGAGTCGGCTTCTTCCTCTGTCTATGTCCCTGCCTTTATCTCTGTGTCTTCCATGAATAAATAGATAAAATCTTTAAAAAAAAAATAAAAATGGCTATACTGAAACTATTATTGATTAACATGAATACTGTTTTTTTAAAGGTTTATTTATTTATTTATTTATTTATTTATTTATTTATTTATTTATGATAGACATAGAGAGAGAGAGAGGCAGAGACACAGGAGGAGGGAGAAGCAGGCTCCATGCCGGGAGCCCGATGTGGGACTCGATCCTGGGACTCCAGGATCGCGCCCTGGGCCAAAGGCAGGCACTAAACTGCTGAGCTACCCAGGGATCCCCAACGTGGATACTGTTTTAAAAGTTAACTGTTCTTCTCGAATAAAAAGTTATTAGAATAGCATTGTTTTACAATTGTATAAATTGCTTTAATGTCCAGCTTAATAGAAGACACCTGTATTCTCATACCTGCTTTTGCATCAGTCTGCTGCCATATATCATTTAGGTAGAAATATGTAAAGAAAATCTGCTAAGAGAGGGATATTTTAATAGCCTTCTAGATAATTGTGAATATTCCTTTCTTAATGCTATACTGAAAGTTACTTTATAAAAGGTAGATTCTTAAAGGTTGGTTTCAATATGGAATCTAAAACTATATCCTATTAGTTTCCTATTGCACTGCAGCAAATTACTGTAAACTGAGTAATTGATAACAGAAATCTATTCCCTGGAGGCCAGAAATCTGAAATTCAGGTGTTAGGTAGGTTGCATTTCCTTAAGAGGCTCAAGGAGAGAATCTGATCTGTGCCTCTTTCATATTCTGATGGCATTGGCATTTCTTGATTGGTGACCTAATCAACCTCTGCCTCTGGGTCACATCTGCCTTTGCCTAATTCTTATAACTATTTTCATTGAATTTAGGTCCCATTCACATAATTCAAAATAAACTTCCCTCAAAATCCTTAATATAATTATATCTTTGACATGTAATTCATTCTTTTTTCACTAAGGTAGAGTTTCTGGGGATAAAGAATAGGACTTACCTTTCATGGGGGCCACCATTCAGCTAATGACATACCAGTAACCTGGTCCTACTCTATTTCATTAAAATTCATAGCTTTATCTTGCTATCTGTATTGTCTTTTACCACACATGATATTATAACATCATACAATAGTCATTTGGAATATACTCATTTACCAAGTTAGAAGGATCTTCCAAATATTGATAGATTTTATTATATAGTGTAAAAAAAAACCCACTTACCAATATCACCATAAAACTCATCAATAATGTCTTTGAAGATTGGGAACATGCATGGTGGCAGATAAATTTTTTCTAAAATTATCACTTTCACTTGAAAGTTCCAATTTTATCATTGGCAGCAAATCTAGTCAGTTCTCTTTTTTTGAAGTTGACAGGCTCACTTTGTTCATTGTTAAGAATGTTCTACCAAATATCCCCAATCTGAATAACTATCATTTGTTTTCTGTCATTCTTTCAAGTAAAAATAGTGTTCTGTAAATAGTAGCTAGTTTAGCTCACAAGTCAAACCATAGCATGACTGCTTTTCTTAAAGGCAACCATCATACTTCAGTATGCAGAAAAGAACTTTATATATAATTCTCCCTTGTCAAACAGTGTTTAAAAGATGTATACCAAAGAGTTGAGATTTAATAATATTAATAATTTCTACTGCTTCAAGGATATTTTTAAGTGGAATTGGTTTTTTCCCCTTATTTTTTTGGTACTGTGAGTGTGTGGGAGTGGAAAATATGAATACTAGTAAAGCTTGGTGCCACTTGATTCATGTGGAAATGTCAGCAATTTTACCCATGATTGCTCTTGAACCATCAGTGCAAATATCAATGTAGTGAAAGAAGACAAATAACATACAAAAATAATTAAAATACTTTCTACCTAGCATACCCCTAAAAGGTCTAGGGAACTCTCGAGAATTTCTATGTTGAGGTCTTCTCAAACTCCTTTGTATTTACAGTCCAGCTCTTTTAGAGTTAAGGTTTGTGATACCTGCAGTCTTTTTCTTACAGAATTATACTCTGTATCATCAATAGCATCAATGATAGAGCATTTCTTTAAAAGGATGCTCTACTGTATACTCTGCAATTTCCTTCCAAGTTTGATATCCACTCAGTATGTTTTGATGTTGAACTTTTCAGATTATTTTCAGAAAGTGTCAACAGAAGGATTGCAAACAAAAAGCAGGATGGATATTACTTGCTCAAATACTTCCAAAGTTGTTTGTGACTGAATAGTTAAGGGAGTATAATTGTCTAGTCATGCTACTAGGACTGAAAACTGAGGTCATGCTGTGCAAGCAATGATTAATATCTTTGTGATATTGAATTGTATATGCATATATATGGGTATCTTCTTGTTCTAGCTGCTTTTGTGCCTTTCAGGAGTATATTACGACTTTCCTCATGAAAGCTTCGAACATTTCTAAGCTTGCAGACATACTCTATTATAATGAGGTTCTCTCTTTCATTAAATCCTCTAATTGGTTTTGTGTTGTGTGTTTACATACTACATTTCTTCAAAGAAAGATTTACCATCATAAAGATACTAATATTCTATAAATTAATAAATTTAATGCAGTTTTGATAGAGTTACCAGAATTACCATATAGTTTACTCTCTCTGGGTGTAAATATGCTAACTGGTAGTTGCATTTGGAAAAGCAAATAAGCAAATACAGCCACAAATGTCCTGATAAGAAGAGGAGTAATATGTGGGGTGAACTAGCTCTATCAGATACTAAAACATATAAAGATTAAAATAATGTATTATTGATAGCTAAAGAGAAGAGAACAAGAAAATCTATGAATAGATCCTAATCCTTGTGAGATTTTTTTTTTGGTAAAGTTCAGTATATCAAATCAGTGGGGAAAAAATATGTTTTTTAATAAGGGATCCTGGGATAACTAACCAGACATAAAGAAAAGATAAAATTCAATTCATTCTCACACTATATATCAAGATAAATTTCAAATGGACCAGAAGTGCAAATTTAAAGAACAAAATCTACAAACCTACTGGAAGGAAATCTGAGTATATTGCTCTGTAAACTGGGAGTAGAGAGGACTTTATTGCTTCTTCATTTAATCAGAGTTCAAGGAAAAGCTTGTAAATTTGATCATTTTAAAAAATGGAATGACTAAAGAATTATAAGCAAAATCAAAGATAAGTAATCAATTAGAAAAAATTTAAATTTATTTCAAAAATAAAGTTGATAGGCCAGAGTTTCTAAAAATAGAGACAGAAAATTATATCTTTAGAGGAAAATGAAAAATGAGCAGTTTATAGAAAAGGAGAGGAAAATGTCTTAAACATGGAGGAGTCTTAATTTTGCTCCCAATAAGTAAAAGGCAAATTGAAACTACAATGAAATTCCATTTCTATTAGATTGGCAAAAATTCCAATTTGGCAACATACCTTTGGATCAAACCTGTGGGGAGACGGGTGTTCTCATATGTTGCTGGAGGGAATACAAAATGATAAAACTATTATGAGGAGAAACTTTGTGTTATCTAGTAAAATTATGGATGATGTTAATTTTTGGCTCAGCAATGCCTCTGAAATCTGTCTCAAAAATACCTAGGCAAATATGCAGAAAGGATATTTGCATAGGATTGTCTATCTTTCTAGTCCCCTTTGATGGGATATTTGGGTTTCAGATATTTGTGTAAAAAACTATTACATCCACACAATGAAGTTTTGAATAAAAGTTATAAAAGAATGAGGAACTTATCTAAATAGTGCTATAGAATAAAGCAATATGTTAGAAAAAAACATGTATTATTGCTTATATATATATATATTTAGATTTGCAAATACATGTACACATACAAGCCAACATATGATATGTACATCTATGCACATACACATGTATAAATGAATATATAATGTGTAAACGTGTACATTATAGAAAAATATGTATAAAAATATACATCTGTACATATTTGTTTTTCCTTATATTAAAAGGATGAATGAATAAATCAGAACATTTTTCAAAGAAACAATATGTGGAGGGCATATAAATAGAACCTGAACTGCCTGAATATAACATATTTTATGGGTTGACTTTGAATCCATTTAAATGTGTTTAGTTTTACATAAGCTTAGAAAATTAATACAAATAATACAAACACAAAAGCATTATATAAAATAAAAACAAGATGAACTAATGAACCTAATTTTGACCCAGTATAAGTATATAAATCACATATAGAAGAAATATAAGTGATTTAAAATTCTGGTAAATTTACTTCAAACACAGGATTATATTTTATGGAAAAAATTAGATAAGAATTTTTTTTAACCAATTGTGCTATTTGTTATAATACTGAAATTGTTATTCTCTTAGTAGAATAAAATGACTAAGGGATATGTTAATACTACAAAGAAGCCAAAATTTTCAGACTGAGGTAAAAATAAAATGATAATCTAAATTTGAATAGGAATTACTGGTATGAATTCATACTTCTTACTGCATTTTCTCTTTTAAGAAATGCATATTATCTTACTTTGTCTGCTGAAAGCCCTAGAAACTGTAATGGACTCTCTAGCAATAAGCACCCATAGTACTTAGAATAGCATCTCTAAATACCATTCCTTGTTTTTAGAAACCAAAATATCTTGGAGAAATGAGAAACTTGAGTTTAGAGAAGAAAAGCTAACAAAGACTTGTATTTCAAGATGCCTGGATAACTCAGTGGTTGTGATCCTGGGGGCCAAGGCATGATCTCAGGGTCCTGGGATCAAGTCTTGTACCAGGCTCCCCAGAGGGAGCCCGCTTCTCCTTCTGTGTATGTCATTGCCTCTCTCTCTGTGTCTCTCATGAATAAATAAAATAGAATAAAAAAATAAAATGAAATACGTATATTTCTGTTTTATTCTCCTTAGAATGTACTATTTTTCAGTCATATTGATTTATATCTTTCTTCCATTTCAGAAAATACTCTGGCTTTAGCTCTTTGAAGATTTCCCCTTCTCCATTCTTATCTTCTATAATTCCAGCAAACAGTTGAAGATTTTATTTACTTATTGGACCTAAAGAACATAAGCAGGAGGAGTGGCAGGCACAGGGAGAAGGAGAAGCAGGCTTCCCACTGAGCATGGAGCCCAATGTGGAGCTGAATCCAGAGGATCCTGGGATCATGACCTGAGCCAAAGGCAGGTACTTAACCGACTGAGCTATCCAGGTGCTCTGACAGCAGACAAATATTTGGTTTCCTCATTCTGTCCTCCATATCTTCTAAATTCTTTTTACATTTTTTTAATCTCTTGATCTCTCTCTGGTTTCATTGTAGATAAATATTTCATATGTGTCTTCTAGCTCACTAAGTATCCTTTCTACTCTCTTTCCTGCTATTTTAAACATTCATTGAATTATTTATTTCAAATTTATTTTTTGTAATTCATTTTTTATTTTTTATTTTTTATTTTTTTTTTTAATTTTTTTGTTTTATTTATTTATGATAGGCACACAGTGAGAGAGAGAGAGAGGCAGAGACACAGGCAGAGGGAGAAGCAGGCTCCATACACCGGGAGCCCGATATGGGATTCGATCCCGGGTCTCCAGGATCGCACCCTGGGCCAAAGGCAGGCGCCAAATCGCTGCGCCACCCAGGGATCCCCGTAATTCATTTTTTAAATTTTGTGTATTCATTTGTTAGTTTCTTGATTTGTGCTGATCTTTGCCATTGTCTAGGTGGTTCATGTAAACATTTCATTCATGATTCCTCTAAATGTCGGGATTGACAATTTCAAAATCTTTAAGCCTTGTTGGTATTAATTTTTACTTGATCTTTTATTTTTTGTTTTTTGCTGGATTTAATTCAAAATTGTTGGAAGCCCGGGTGGCTCAGCGGTTTAGTGCCACCTTCCGCCAGCATGATTCTGGAGACCTGGGATCGAGTCCCATGTCAGGCTCCCTGCATAGAGCCCACTTCTCCCTCTGCCTGTGTCTCTGCTTCTCTCTCTTTCTCTCTCTCTGTGTCTTTCATGAATAAATAAATAAAATCTTAAAAAACAAAGTGGTTTACCTTCTTACATGTGTGTGACAATCTTTGTAAAGTTATGCATGTTTTCTACTTCTGGAAATTTTGCAAGACTACCACATATAATGTTTTTGCTCCTTACAGGTTTTGGTTTCAGAGCAGATAGTCAAGACTCTGCTTCCCTTCTAAAAGTTAATATCTGCAAAACTGTGTTGCTAGAAGACTTGGCCTCTGAGGTTCTGTGCTGCTTCCTGCTGCCATCCATCTAGGCCAGCCCATTCTTCCTTAATCCCTGCCTCTCTGACTCTGAAGTACTGACCCCATTTTTCTTTCATTGTCCTCTGTCGTGTATCTATAGGAGTTCCAGCTATGGAAGCCTTGGCTTTAGAATTTTAAGGCATTAGAACACTTGAGTTTTGATCTCTGCTTCATCCCTTACATATTGTTGTTAGTCAATATTGACTATTTTTTCTAATTCTACAAATTTGACACTATAATCATAATTACTATTTTACCTAGACATTTTCTCTTTAACATAGTTTTTTTTACTCACTTTTTTTTCTTATGTCTGTCCTGACTGGAAGAATGACTAACTTGGAGTCTACAAGACACATAAAAAGTTTTGAAATACTTTGGGATCCTCATGGTGGTTATTCCCACTTTAAACAGTAGTGGAAATTTCTCTAGTGTGTTTTAGTAAGTAAACACAGTAAAATAGTGTAGTGGGTATGCATAGGACAGAAAAATTGTGTGCTCAATAGAGCGTTTTGCTTTGTGCCAGGGGCCTCTTCCATAGACTTAATTGCAATGAGGAAATCATGGCAAATAGCTTGAGCCAGCAATTTACAGATTATTAGACAAGAAGATTTATTGAACTAAACAATAAAAAGGAAAAGCCATTTTATAATGTGTGATAGAATGGTCTAACCAAAAAATTGTTGTCTCCTCTGGTCTATATACATAAATCAGTGCCTTATCATTTCTGTGCAGTCATGCCTAACATTTTTTACCCTGGAATTACAAGTAAAACCTTTGTAATACAGGCCTTAGAATACATTTTTTATGTCACATCTAATAAGCATTTTTAAAATGCCATTTTCCCCTCACTTTTATTCTTCCTGCATTAGAAGCTCACAGTCTAGTAACTCATCATTTATATCATGAACAGATCCTAAGCAGCCTTATGCAGGTGGCTGACCCTCCGATGAGACACATTACTTTGCATGGAGAAAATAGGAAATTCAAAATAAATACTTCAGCCTTAATGTTACCAGAGTTTGTTTTCTGTTACAGAAAGTGTTATTATAGTGGTTATTATTACTAAGGACAGATATGAGCTATTTGAGGCTGGTTTGGTTTTGCTATTCTCAATTTGACCCTTAAGGGGTAAATGTTTTCCTATTGCTCATAATTTCATTCATCATTTTCTTCTCTGTCCTTTTTTTATTTCTACTGCTGCTCCAGCCTCATTTCAGAAATTGCTGTTGGCAAGAAGAAATGTGTACAACACGAATTACCTGTAGGAGTTAGATTGCATCAGTATTGTCAGTAATATTGTTTAGAATCAGCTTAAAACATTGCTTTGTAATTCTGAAAAACAGTGGAAATGGGAGACAGATAATATCCAAGACTCCCATATCTTCTTTTTGTAGGCATGGAAGAAAATCCTATGTTTGGGACATTTCAAAAGGACGTGGCATTTGAGAGAGGATATAATTTTCCTATTTATAAGGCAAATGATAATAAAACAATGAAAAGTGAAAGCAAGAAAGTCATGTTTATACCCCAAGTTTGTGGAGTATTTCTTATTTAAAAAAAGGCTCTTGTAAAGTAGAGAAGATAAAATGTTGAGCGGCATATGTTCATTTTGGAGGTAAAATAAATTCTCATTTCCCCATCACTGAAGCTAAGAAATAAGAAATTATTACCACCATAGAAGACTACTCCGTGCCCCATAATTATCCTAGCTTCTGTGCCTCTCTTAGGTTCCAAGAGGTCACTACCATTCTGAAATTATGATTTCTGTGTTTCTGAAATTGTGAATTCTCACTTTTCTAACTTTTTAAAACGTTTCTCTCTGAAAAATATATCATTTTGCCTTTTTGAAAAACATCACAAAAAATAAAAATAAAAAACACATAAATGGAGTCATATTGTATGTATTCTGTAAGTTTCTTATTTTTATGTTAATGAGGTAGTCTATTTTTACTATCCTATAGTATTTGATTGTGTTAATCTGTGTATACATGTGACTGTATGTAAATAGATTTTCATATATGTATATATGATGAATGGGTTATTTATCCATTCCACTAGTAGTAAATATCTGCAGCATTTTTGGGCTTTTTTTGTTATAAATGATGATACTCTTATGAATAATAATAATAATATCTTAAGTTATAGTAATATGTGCTATGCACTATTGCAGGAACTTTATGTATATCAACTCCTTTAAATAGCAGCACAAACCTATGAGCTCTGCACCATTATCATAAATTTACAGATGAGGAGACTGGAGAATTAAAGTGCTAATATACTAAGATACAGCAAAGATGGAATTACAGTACCAAGAGCTGAACTACATAGTTGGTGCTTGGAGACACTGTGCTTTGTCACTTGATTTTTGCAGTGCTTTTGAAACACATTTTCAAGAATGTTTCTATACTTGACACAGACTTGGAATTGCTGGATAAGTAGGGTTTGCCCATGCTCCACTTTATTATGGAATGCCAGACTTTCCCAAACTCTTCCAATTTCCCTCCTTCTAGCAGTGAATGAAAATTTTCATTAATGCCAGCCTTGCCAATACTTGTTATCATTTGACTTCTTCTTCTTCTTCTTCTTTTTTTTTTTTTTTAAGATTTTATTTATTTACTCATGAGAAACAGAAAGACAGAGAGGCAGAGACACAGGTGGAGGGAGAAGCAGGCTCCATGCAGGGAGCCTGACATGGGACTTGATCCTGAGTCTCCAGGATCAGGCCCTGGGCTGAAGGCAATGCTAAATCATTGAGCCACCTGGGCTGCCCGTATTTTTTGACTTCTTAAGTTTTACAAATCTTGAGGGTATGAATGAGTATTAGATGGTGATTTTCATTTTCATCTCTTGATTATTAAGGAAGCTGAATTTTTTCATACATTTATATAGGGATTTTGTGTTCCCTGTGAAAAGTCCTTTTTTTTTGTGAATTTTTCCCTATTTGAATATGTTTTTTTCCTTATCGATTGATAGGGCATTTATATTTTTTGTGCTTTAGTTATGTTGATAATATCTTTACCTAGTTTATGACTTGTTTATTTAATTTTGATGAACTAGAGTTCTTAATTTTATTGTAGTCAAATTTATAATCGCCTTTAAGATACACACTTTTTATACCTTAAAGTCATGAATGCTTTTCTTCACATTCTAATTTTTAAATTTTCTTCTCAGTTATGTCTTTAAACTGTATTTTTTGTTCATGATAATCCACTGTTATTTTTTTCTATATGAAAACCAATTGCACTAGTACCATGTATTGAAGAATCCATCTTTTTTATGGCTGAGTAATACTTGATTACACACACACACACACACACACACACACCACACCACTTCTTTATCCATTCATCAGTTGATGGACATTTGGGCTCTTCCCATAATTTGACTATTGTTGATAATGCTTCTATAAACATGGGGTATGTGTATCTCTTTGAATTAGTATTATTAATTCCTTTGGGTAAATACCTAGTAGTGCAATTGCTGGATAGTAGGGTAGTTTCTATATTCATTTTTTGAGGAGTCTCCATACTATTTTCCAGAATAGCTGCATCAGTTTTCATTATCACCAATTGTGTAAGAGGGTTCCCCTTTCTTCATATCCTTGTCAATACCTTTTGTTTCCTGAATTGTTAATTTTAGTGAGTCTCACTGGTGTCAGGTGGTATCTCATTGTAGTTTAGATTTGTATTTCCGGGATCCCTGGGTGGCGCAGCGGTTTAGCGCCTGCCTTTGGCCCAGGGCGCGATCCTGGAGACCCGGGATCGAATCCCACGTCAGGCTCCCGGTGCATGGAGCCTGCTTCTGTCTCTGCCTCTCTCTCTCTCTGTATGACTATTGTAAATAAATAAAAAAAAAAATTAAAAAAAAAAAAAAGATTTGTATTTCCCTGATGATGAGTGATGTTGGGCATCTTTCCATGTGTCTGTTGGCCATCTGGATGTCTTCTTGGGAAAAATGTTTATTCATGTCTTCTGCTCATTTTTAAACTGGATATTTGTCTTTTGGGTGTTCAGTTTGATAAGGTCTTTATAGATCTTGGATACTAACTAACCCTTTAGCAGATAATGGCATTTGCAAATATCTTCTCCCAGTCCATAGGTTGCCTTTTAGTTTTGCGGATTGTTTCATTTGCTATGTAGAAACTTTTTCTTGAAGAAGCTCCTGTAGTTCACTTTTACTTTTGTTTTCCCTGTCTCAGGAGACATATCTAGCAAGAAGCTGTATTGCCAAAGTCAAAGAAGTTGCTACCTGTGTTCTCCTCTAGGATTTTCATGGTTTCCTGTTGCACATTTAGGTCTTTCATCCATTTTGAATTTATTTTTTGTTTGTGGTGTAGGGAAGTGGTCCAGTTTCATTCTTTTGCTTATGACTGTCAAATTTTCCCAATACCATTTGTTGAAAAGATTGTCTTTGTCTCACTGGATATTCTTCCTTGCTTTGTCAAAGATTAATTAACTATATAGTTATGGGTTCATTTCTGGGTTCTCTATTCTGTTCTATTGATCTATGTGTTTGTTTTTGTGCCAGTACCATACTGTCTTGATCATGACAGCTTTGCAATATAACTTAAAGTCCAGAATTGTTTTGCCTCCAGCTTTGCCCCTCTTCATCATGACTGCTTTGGCTATTCAGGCTCTTTTATGGCTCCATTACAAATTTTTGGATTGCTTGTCTTAGCTTTGTGAAAAATGACAGTATTTGAATAGGGATAGCATTAAACGTGTAAATTGCTTGGGTAGTATAGACATTTTAACAATATTTGTTCTTTTGATCCATGAGCATGGAATGTTTTTTCATTTCTTTTAGTCATCTTCAGTTTTTTTCATTAGCATTTTAGAGTTTTCAGAATATAGAACTTTTACCACTGGTTGGGTTTATTCTTAGGTACCTTTATAGTTTTTGGTGCAATTGTAATTGGGATAGATTACTTGATTTCTCTTTCTGCTGCTTCATTATTGGTGTACAGAAATGCAAAATATTTCTGTACATTGATTTTGTATCCTGCAATTTAATTAATGTGTCAGTTCTAGCAAGTTTTTTTTTTTTTGTGAAATCTTTCAGGTTTTCTATATAGAATATCATGTCATCTGTAAATAGTAACAATTTGACATCTTCCTTATTGATTTGGATGCCTTTTAGATGTTTTTGTTATCTGGTTCCTGTGACTAGGACTTCCAGTACTGTGTTAAATTACAATGGTGAGAGTGGGCATCCCTGTCTTGTTCCTGAGCATAAAAGAAAAGCTCTCAATTTTTCCCCTTTGAGGATGATATTAGCTTGGATTTTTTTTGTATATGGCCTTAATTATGTTGAGATATATTCCCTCTAAACCTGCCTTATTGATGGTTTTTATAATTATTGGATGTTTTACCTTGTCAAGTACTTTTTCTGCATCTATTGAAAGGATCATCTGGTTCTTATCCTTTCTTTTATTAATGTGGTATATTACATTGATTGATTTATGAATGTTGAACCACCCTTGCAGCCTGGGAATAAATCCCACTTGATTATGGTGAATGATTCTTTAATGTACTGTTGGAATTGATTTGCTAGCATCATAATGAAGATTTTTTGCATCCATGTTCATCAGGGATTTTGGCCTATAGTTGCCTTTTTTAGGAGAGTCTTTATTTGGGTTTGGTATCAGGGTAATGCTGGCCTCATAAGGATGAATTTGGAAGTTTTCCTTCCATTTCTATTTTTTTGAAAAGTTTGAGAAGAATAGGTACTAACTCTTCTTTAAATGTTTGATAGAATTTGTCTGTGAAAACTTCTGGCCCTGGACTTTAGTGTGTTGGAAGATTTTTGATTACTGATTTAAGTTCTCAGATGGTTATCAGTCTAAGTTTTCATTTTCTTCCTGTTTCCATAAAAAATAATGAAATCTTGCTTAAAATAATGATATGGATGGAGCTAGAGAGGATAATGCTAAGCAAAATACGTTAGCCAGAGAAAGCCAAATACCATATGATTTCCCTAATTTGTGGAATTTAAGGAGCAGAAAAAACGAACATGGGGGGGATAAGAGAGGAAAGTGGAGAAACAGACTGTTAACCATAGAGAACAAAAACTGATGGTTACCAAAGGTGAGGTGAGTGGGTAGAAAGAATGAGTTAAATAAGTGATGGGGATTAAAGAGAGCACTTGTGATGAGCACTGGATATTGTATGTAAGGGATGATTGTATGATAACTAATTGGAATTTAAATAAAACTTGAAAAATGAAGAGTCCATCTTTCTCACTAAACAGAGGCTTGTGTTCTGTTACTAAGAATCGCATGTGTTTATGTGATTGTGTGCATATATAGGATGTATATTTCTGGATTCATGGGCTCTCTTTCCTTTTATATTTTCTTTATTAAAATTAATAATTTTCTTTGTAAGACTTATCCTTTTTTTGTTAGGTTTATTTCTAGGTACTTAATATATTTTTGCTGCTATATAAAAATGGTATCATTAAACTATTTTCCATTGATACACATAGATACAATTGTGTTTGTATTTTTATTCAAAAATATTTGTCTTGATTTCAGCAGCATTTGTTACACTCTAACAATTGCCTGTAGATTGTTGTTTTTTAAGTGGATAATTATATTATCTGAGAATGACTTTCTAATTGTGATCACTTTTAATTTTCTTTTTTCTATTATTCTAATGGTCAGAACAATACAATGTTCAATAGAAGTAGTGTAACAACCACTCATATGTCATTTCTGATTATAAAGAAAATTATTTCATAATGTTACTACTAAATCTGACATTTACTAAGGATTTTAATACCTTTAGTCAGATTAAAACAATGTCTATTTTGTTTTCATTTTGAAGTTTATCA